ACATTTCAGATCTTATCAGGAAAGTTTCTTATCACAGAAAACAACACCAGAAACACAGCTGCCAGCAGCAAGAAGCAAGTTCTTAAAGTCTGACAAAGCATGCAGCTAGTTCCCTGCTTTCCCCATAAGGCATCATAGATGTTTTAGTCTTTGCCAATAAAAGAAGTGCAGCTGGCTGTTTTTTATATGCAATCTTCATACATTAACATGCTATGGCTTCGCAGATTTTCGTTAAAATATGTTTTGTGTTTTATGTCATTAACCTGCTGGATTACGTTTGGACTGATCATTGTGCCATGGGTTTTATATTTGCCAAATTTACTGGGCAAATGAAAACAATTAATAGCTTAAAAACTGAGCCAGTTAATGACAACTGTTTATATTTCAAAATATGTTCACAGCTCCAAGAAGAAATATACAGTGATGTAGAGTTTTTTCTTCCAGTGGAATGTGTTGTCATATTTTACAGAAGTTGTAGTTGGTAAGATTTCAGTTAAACAATATGAGTTACTGGAGTTTTTGTATGTGTCTGAAGGATTTCTGAATTTTTATGTGGTTTTGCATATAAACACACAGTTAGGCCAAATTCACAAAAGACTGTATGTCTTTAGTCTGCAGTAACACCCAAATGTCCCAAGGGCTTGTAACTGGTACCCTTCTGGTGAGTCTCTAGGTCATCACAATCCATTAGCTAAATTCTAAAACACAAATATAAATTAATTCTTGGAAAAACATTAGGTTGCCTGAACTAGAAACATGAAATAGGGGTTCAGTCTTTTGTCTTGATTTATCTGGGGGGCTTGGAGATGGATTTGTCTCCTTCCATCGTCCTCCAGTAGCCTAAATTTCCCTTCACTTTTGTCTCTGTCCACACCCCCAAATGTTTTTATTATTTAGCAGAGTTTGTATGGAACTGTGACGTTGTCTTTGGATTTTCTTCTCATGCCTTAGGTCACTCTCTTTGCTCTGTCAGTTCAGCCATGCTAGTTATTAGTGCTCATGTTAACTACCCTTTTCTTCTTCCTCTCTTTATTCCAAACAAACCAGAAATCGAATGCATTACTTCCTTTGCAGAAGTCTTGTAGGATGACTACATGTGGAAATGGGGATCATTTCTTTAAAAGGTGCCATTGTTTTCTTTCTCAACCACTGCCATTGCTCACCTCGAAAATGAGCACACTGATCTCTCTTTTTTATCTCTTCCACTCTTTTATCATCTTTACTTTTCAACATCCCTCTACCTATATTTTTTGTTCAGTCTCATCCTATTTGCTTAGATTTTTTGTTGCACTTTTTTCAATTAGTATGTGTAGAGTGAAAAAGGAGACACATATTTCTATTACAGCATAAGTAAATAATAGAACAGTGCTGATAATAATATAAAAGGATAATAAAAAGAATTAGGACAACAAACTCACAGACAATAAAGAATAAAAGAAAACAAATGCCAAGGGGAAGATTAGTAAATCAAGCAGAAAGAAACACAACATTGGTATTCGCAGCAGACTCACTTGTGTAGTTACACCCTTTAATATGCATCTGGTACAGATTTTTCCATTGCTTCTTCGCCTCTCTCCCTCTGTCCTTTTTCCTTTTTCGCCATCTGTCCAGGTGCTTGTATTATCCCAGACGTGCTATTAAAAGGAAGCTAGTTCTCTTTCACTTGGTGCTCAAAGGCACTGTTTTGCCCTTCAATTTCACTTCCTGTATTGACTGAGAAATGCCCTTCCTTTCCACCCTTAAATCTGTTTAAACCCTTCCTGTTGCAAAATCCATTATTCAGGGTTTGTCACCTGTATCTCCAAGTTCCAAGGAATTTGTAGTAATGCCATGAATACAGATATCACCTGACAACTGGCGGACGTTTTGCAGTACACATTCATAACATGGACAGTGCACCAAAAAAAGGTTCAGGGGTGTGCCCTTCTACTGCTATAAGGTGTTCAATTTATGCTTTGTCCTCTCCAAAATAAATCTGTTAACCAATAGCTAATGTTCCCAACAGTTTCCTCATGTAAATCACAACTCGCCAACAGACTAACAAAATTAAGACTCATCCACCAGCTGTCTGCAAAAGTGACACATTCTATTGCTTTAAATTGCTGCTCTCATCATTACTGGAAGGAATAGTTTGAAACCAAGTTTAAACCTACTGTGACGTCACCCATTGGTTTGTGGAGAACCTTTTTGAATCCTTGAGTTTGGCATTATGGTCGTCGCCATGACAGTTTGTCGAAGCCAGCAGAGGTGATGTACTGCGAGTTGAGCATACCCTGCTTTATGGTCTATTCTACTCTAAATGGGACCAGCATTGCTGTATGGAAGAAGACGTGAAACTAGTGATCGAGACCATAAACTAATTAGGAAACAATGAATCAAGTGAGAAGTGGGGTCAGCATCGGCAGCGACTGCATGCTATCAGTTTCTATTGCAGCCAATAGATCTACCCCCTGCTGGCCTTTACATAGAATGCTTTAAGACAAAGTTTAAGTTGGCTTCACTTCACAGACCAAGAAGCTCTGTCCATTATATATGCTGTCAAAGTTTAAAACATACTAATATTTCTCAGTGGTGAACACAGAAAACACTCTGATACACCAGTGCTCACAGTATATAAATGTTTTACCTTAAGATTTTTTTATGTTTAGCTGATGGTAAATAGATTAAATTTCACAACCAAAAGGTAATCATTGCCAACTCAATCCTCATTCTTTCCAGGGCAGTGAAGTAATTGTGTGTCTTATGTTTCACTGTTTTCATCTGCCCGCTGAAGTCATATTGGATAGCGACACCAAGACTCTTCTGGTAGAAACTGAAGAAGGAGGTTTAAATTCCTACACTGTAGAGACTTGTAAGGAGTGATACACTTCTAAGTTCCTGTCAATGATGAATGAAATGACTGCTGAAGAATGCCCTTGCCACCCCTCCAAACACAAGCACACAGATACACACAACCGCCTCAACCTCCTGAGATGTTAAAACATGCTGCAACCTGTAAGAAATATTCTCTTATATATCTGGAGGATAAGAAATTGTGTGCTAGCTGGTGCAGATATACAGTGTAGGTCTTTATTTATACTGAAGCTAAAGCTCAATGCAAATCTCCCTCCAAGTGAAGCAGTTTTTGCTTAATCCAGTGTGATGGTAAACCATTAGTTTTCTTTTTATTGTTTTTATTACTGCCTCATGGCAGCATGACTGAGGTTTTTGTGTGTGTGTTTTCTTAAGCTTTATTTATTCAAGGAAGGGTTGCTGGGCACGTAGGGCTCTTAAACAGCACCGCCTCGATTCATTTTCTTTGAAACATTCAGACCTGAGAATGTCCTAGTGCAACCACAGTGATCTTCTATTGGGTTTGTTGCACATTGGTATTAGAGGAAAATAAAACAAGATACCATCGGCTCAGAGTCAATGAGAATCTTTGGCATACTATTGTCAGATAGTTTGTAACTTTGTCTACATTTTGGTGCTGACCAAAATAAGGTAAGGTTTTATGAAACATACAATCAGTGTACTGTAAAACCGAAATGATAAGCTAAACAAGGATAAAAGTTTCTGTAGAGCTCCACAGTTGGTGATAAGTCTTTGAGATTTCAGCCACCCCTTTTACACACAGAAAACATCTGAAATAACTGTAGAGTTCCCATTTTGATTCTGGCAAGGTACCTTTGTTGCATGACATACCTGTCTGTATAAAATATATAAAAATATTATAAAACTAGCTTAATTTGGGCACATATAATATTTAAGAAGTTGGTCATGGCTTTGACTCGCGTCATTTCTAAATGCAGCTTAAACATATTTTGCTCATTCCCAAGGCACTCCAGAAAAGGCAAAATCTAAAATCTACTGGAACACTTCACACACTAAAAAAGTGCCAATATCTGTCGTACTTACCCAGCTTGTTCCTGAATATACATCCTGATAGCCATAGTTAAGGTGCATACAACATAACCAGAATGTCCACAAGTCAACTGTTTTCCTGTCTGCTGCTATACTGTCCTATCTAATGAAAGCAAACATTCCTGTGTGTATGTGTATAGGTGTGTGTGTTTGTCCAGGGTATTTATGTGGTATTCAAACAAATATGACTGTTTTACCAGGTGATGACTGAATGGAAAACCCAAATAGTGTTGATGATGATCAATGATATATCATATCACAAGCAAGTTTAAAGTTCATGGCACTGGACATGGATGTGACAAATGCAAAAACAAAATTAGCTTTGAATACAAATATGGATCACAGAGAATTTAACATGGGCAAGTGACTGATATTCACATTTACACTTTAATACTTTAATAAACTGCCCTAAAGCAGATTAGGGCTGTGAGTTTAAGTGCCTTGCTCAACTGCATTTCCGCAGTATTTAATAATTCTGATTATTGGGTCTAATGGGATTAAAACCAGCACCCTTAATGATTCCATTGTTTTTCCACAGAGACCCAAGCTCACAGAGGTTTCTTAAGCTCTGTGTGAAAGATAATTGGCTGATAAAAATATAGTTGTTTCCTAATTTGGTTGGCCTTTGGCTCGCTGTGTGCTGGACTGGCTTTTGTAAATGAACTGCTGTTGCCTCATTAGAGTCTGGTCTGTTTTTATCACCCTGTAAACTGTTGAGACAAACAACAGAGTGGGGTGTTATTTTTCATCTCCTAAAACTAAGTACCTCGCTCCTCCAGGGTTTAATTATACTGTGTTGAACTGAATTAGAATTAATGAAACACTTTGTAATACTTTGGGACAGAAGCTGCACATCAAATTGTCCTACTTTTACCACTGCAGATTCATCATGTATGTGCTGCAGGCAGCTGTGTACACGTTTTTCGGGTTTATACTTTTTCATACGTTTAAGGAGGTTCATTTTAATGAATAGTTTTGTTCAGCACACCAAAACTCACACTCAAAAATCACCAGGGCAGGAGACTTTCATGTGCAAGACCATTTTTATCTGCTAAATTTGTGTTGCGTTTTCTTTGTTTTTGTCTTTCTGTCTTTAGCTGAAGAGGGGTTTATGTGTAAGACTTCTGCCATATCCGACATTGTTATTCTGGTGGACGGCTCGTGGAGTATTGGCCGAATCAATTTCAGACTGGTCAGGACATTCCTGGAAAACCTGGTCAGGGCCTTCAATGTGGAGTCTGACAAGACCAGGATTGGTGAGGAACATTTGATTTCTGGGATTCAGGTGATTCATTGTAACTATGTAAACTATACTCATACCATTTGGAGGACGTTTTATTGTAAGGTGCCTTAGACTCAACCAGAGTCTTTTCTAACCACAGTTTTAACCTTTAGAATTTATTTTAAATTGTAGTGGAGATCTCAAATTTTTGACCCTCAATATGACTGTGTGTGCAGGCCTAGCTCAGTACAGTGGAGACCCCAGAATCGAGTGGCATCTCAACGCACACACCAGCAAAGAGGCTGTGATCGATGCAGTGAAGAACCTGCCTTATAAAGGAGGAAACACACTGACAGGTACAGTACGCTGCCAACCAAACCCCCAGCCTCCCTCCGGTTATTATGGTCTTCCTTACTCATCACAGTTAACAGATAACGTTTAGAGGTTGACTTGGACCAAGGCCAGTGCTCTACCTCAGCTTATTAAATTCACTACAGTGCAGCTCATTTCAGTTTGGTGTTAAAATGTTTGTGACCATACAGAATTGTGCTGAGCTGACCTGACTGAGTCAGAAGATCAGTGTAGTTCAGGTAAAGTTTTGACATCATTCTGACCACACACAGCAGATAGACATTACCAGGAGCCCCACTGATATTCAAGAAGCATGACAATACAATGACTCTTAAATATTACAGGGGTCTAATGGAACGGCAGTTTTACTTTAAGACCATCGTCATTAGGAGGTTCTATTCATAGAAGCAACAGCTAATACTGTAAAACCTCAATTAATACCCTGGGCTTTTATTTGCTTCCGTCACTGAACTCAACATGCCTTTTTTGTAGGGACAGGCGTTGAATTCCTTTTGCACAAAACTCTTGTTCGAAAAAGATGGAAAATACTATGAGATTGTTTATTTTAACCAATATGAATATTACCTGTATAAGAAATAAACTATTTAGTCACATATCAATAACGAATCATTAATTTGATCATTCGATACTTTGGTGCTCCTGGTTTCCATTATATGAACTAAAGGATTGATTTGTGGACAATCTAACCAATCTAACAGTGTGTCTTATCCGTATTGACAAAAGTTTAAACATTTATATTTGTGGACAGATGCTTTAATTTTATTAAAACCTATATATATCTATAAAAACAGTTGGACTTGTACCTTTTTCTTAAAAGTGCGGCCGTAAAGGGAACCTGTGACTAAGGACTTTAAAAAATAAATTAATAATTATACTCCACTAGTGTCATTTTCAGCGACCAGGTTGTGTATATCTCCCTCTGGAATGTACATATTGTGGCTGCTAGCTGTGCAGCAACTGATTTGAACTAACTGTTGAAGAGCTAAATTGAAAAGCCACAGTTGTTATAGTGGGCACAAACCATCAGCAACTCAGTTGAGTAGTTACTTCTTCAGAGTGTGTAGTTGTGTGTTGGTGTACAGTTCATCGGTAACAAGTCAGAACCCAAGGATGCAGAGACCAAAAGGATAAAAGTAATAACGAGTTACACTACGCAATTTTTCACTCGCAGACAAAGGCTGTAGATTAAAAGCAAAAAAAAGCTGTTAAGAGTTGAGGAAAATATCAGTGATGTCATTATTGGACCGAACATAACTTAACTGCTCATTATGTTAACACACTCATTAGACAACAATCTTGTAGAGCTAATAATGACCCATCTTATTGGATAAGTCTTTGAGCCAAGATGTCACATTAAGAGCCATTTCAGCTGTCCTCTTAACTGTAAGTGCAATCATACTGTCAGCCAGGACTTATCTCACTGTTACAACTATTCTATAGAAAGTACTATAAGTGGTTCTAATTTTTGGCTGTCAATCATTTCTAACAGTAGATGTCCAACAAATTATGAATACAGCGTGTCACACCATGGATAGCAGGTATACTGCACATTGTGATCGATTTCAAACATAGAGTTTGTATTTATCTTTTGGGGGTCAAAATAGAACTTCTTTGGGACTTGATATTTTTCTGCTAGATTAGAACATTTCACAGGAAATAAAATCATTTTAAAACTACATTTTAGTCCCAGATTTTGGGAGATATGAGGTTTTCATCTTGAAGCCACTTTATCTTTTTTCTTTTCTTTCTGCACACAGGTGATTTACAATGTACTTTCACCTGCAAACTTAAACCCTGCTGAAGGAAACCAAGCCACAACAATGTTAATGTTAATTTAAAACTGCATTTAAAAGTAATCAAGTAAATCAAGTCTTTTAAATTAGTGATCTCTTTTTTTTGTTTACTTAGGAGGACAATCCCTGCAGCCTTTAAGCCAAAGTGATAATTTTCCTTAATTGTTTTGGGTGTGGGAGGGCCACGAAGGCCTGTTTTCAATGTATTGTAGTAAGGAGTTGAGGACTATATTTAGGGGTACAGTAGTTGTAATAATGTCTGTATCACACTGTATTCACTGTATCCTGTCTTGTGTCTGTCCAGGTCTGGCTCTGACCTTCATCCTGGAGAACAGCTTCAAACCAGAGTCTGGATCCAGGCCCGGCGTTCCCAAGATAGGAATCCTTATCACTGACGGGAAGTCACAGGATGACGTGATACCCCCAGCACAGAGCCTGAGGGATGCTGGGATCGAAGTGTTTGCCATTGGTATGCCCCACCAACGCTAAGACTAATTGTTCAGATGAATGACATTAGTAGCAGATATTTATTGATGGCATCAACATGGGAACTGCTTGTAAATGTATTCAGAAAACTTCTACAAGACTTCATTGATGCTGAAGAAGCCAAAGACCAGTAATCTGACTCCTGGGTTGAATTGTTTATTGCAAATATCATCCCTTTAATTTTTCTCAGACTCACTGTCTTTACAGATTGATGCTTTAAATCACAAAAACAGTCAACAATCTTGAATTTTCTTTTGACAGCTGTATTGGGATTTCTAGGCTGCACGTTCATTACAGTGGAATATGTTTCTATTCCTTTGTAGGCGCAGTGTTATTTAAAGATTTCCAAAAACAGTCAATTCTTGTTATTTAACAATAGAGCTGAAATGGTGAGTTTACCAATCAATCGACAGAAAATGTATTGTCAACAATTTTCATAGTAGATTAATCAATTCCACTGGATGATCATCAGGAAGAACACCAAACAGCTTCTAAAATCTTCTGCTGTTTAATATCATTGTACATTAAATATCTTTTACTTTTGGTCTATTGATCAGACAAAATAAGTAATTTGAAGATGTTATTTTGTACTCTGGGAAGATTTGGAAGGAGAACGTTTTCATTCTTGAGAGCTTAATCAATAATCCTGCTCTATTTGAAAAGTGTCCTGAGATAACTTCTGTTATGAATTGGCGCTATACAAATAAAATTGAATTGAATTAATGAAAACAATCGTTGTTTGCAACCCTAACAAACATAAAGGTGAGTAAATGTAAATCATTTCATATTACACTGAAATGAACTGAAACAAAAGTTCATCTGGTAAACCTTCATTAGACAGTCATTTCTCAGCTTTTGAGGATTTCTTGGAAGTCAGTTTGTTGTTTTTGGCAGAGCACACAGCCAGTAGAAGGAGATGTGAGGAGGCAATTGTCAGCACTCAGGTTAACTCAGTATGACACATTCATTTGAAAATGAAGTCTAAAAAGTTAATTTTGGCCTTTTGCTAGAAAATGTTTAAGGATTTATTTTCGAGGAAGCACATTTAAGTTTGACAAATATATATATATATATATATTTTTTTTTTTAATTAAAGACTTAATATATTCATTGACTTGTTGCATCATCAAAACCTTATTTCAAACAACTTTCATGTAACCACTCTTTCCATTTCCTTCTGTTTGTCTCTCTCCTGTCTGAAGGTGTGAAGAACGCTGATGAGAACGAGCTGAAGGCCATCGCCTCTCCTCCTGAGGAAACTCACGTCTACAATGTGGCGGACTTCAGCGTGATGAGTGACATCGTGGAAGGCCTCACCAAGACCGTCTGCGAACAAGTGGAGAAGCTCGACAAGCAGCTCAAAGGTTTGAACAGCAGCTTGTTTCAGCTGAGTCATATCACAGGCTGATACCACAAAGACCCTGCAGCTTGTACTGTGATTACTCTGTTGATGCCATTGGTTATAATTATGACTGCTGGAGATCCCCAAGCAATAAAAACCCAGTCCCCATCTAATATAATGTAGCGGCATGCCCTAACGTTCATGAAACTTATATACACACATGCTGTTTGCCATTTTCTGATTGAGCAAACCAAGTTTTGATGTTTGCACATGAACAGTGTGAAAAGTGTTTGCCAGCCATTTGCTTGTACAGTATATATTTATATTTATATTTAAATCCAACACTTTCTCTTTCTCTGTGTGTGCAGGGGGTGGAGAACCTGCCCCCCCGCCCAACTCTGTGGCTCCGCCCCGTGACCTGGTGACATCTGAGATCACAGCTCGCAGTTTCCGGGTGACATGGACTCATGCACCGGGCCAGGTGGAGAAATACCGCGTGGTCTACTACCCAGCCAGCGGAGGACAGCCAGATGAAAAAGTTAGTAGCATTAAAGTTTTAAACATGAATACAATGATTTCATTGCAGTCTACATCTATTCTTTGGTTGTGACTCCAGGTGTGGCCCTCATGCTTCTTGACTCGGTTGTTAATAATACTTGTGAAGCTTGTTTTATAGTTATTCTGCCACAGTGAACAATACTTCCAGTTAATGCTGGAGTCCAAGCTTTTATTGGACTTGGCTAACACATTTTAAATGAATCCAATCAACTGGTTATTAAATGGTTCATCTGTTTCTCTGGCTCCCCATCAATGGCGAGAGGGGGTTTCCTTTTGTCACCTTAATTGGTGGAACTTTGTTCCTGATTTCCCAGCAGAGAGCAAACAAAATGCTGAGATATTGATGTAATGGCAGCAGTTTAATTAAGACTGCTCAGTTAATCCATTTGGGGTCAATTCTGCAAGTTAAATGAATTTTTGAAAGTGATTTTCATCAATAATGGCAACAAGTCTGCAGATTTAGCAGATCATAAAACCAAGCGCCTTCTCATGCTGCTCTATATTCTGCTGCATTACTTTAACTTCCATTGTGGCAGAACCACGAGATACCAGATATAAATCTAAAACAAATCCACATCTGCAGTTTGTGGTGCTATTAGAATTATGTTGTGTTATACTGATAGCTGATATTGTCCACTGCTTTCTATAATGCAGTACAATTCAAAAGCATCACAAACTGTCTTCTCCAAAAGGGTCATACAGTTAAATCAACATCTCTCTAAAAGGGTTTGAACAAAAACTGATTATAACCTTCGTACAGGGAGGATTTATTGCAGGCCTGTTGTATTAGACTGCCTTAGTTTTGGCTAGGTCGACCTGATAATCTGGTTAGGCTGTCACTTTTTCCAAAAATCACGAGTGAACGAATTTGACAAAATTATTTCAAAACACATGATACAACTGTGTGACACCACACAGGAAACACAACGCAAAGACTGTACTAAAGGATAAGTCACTCTTGCCACACCAATGGGCCAACGTATCTTTGCATATAAATCTTGCCATCTTATTGGTGATGGAATTTTTTCAAGCTTCTGGCAAGGATCCGGCTGAGGCTGAGCGTGCCGAATGTGCAGTCAGACCAGGTTGTACACTGGACATTGCGTGGGCGGCATGCTAACGTTAGTGTGAGTCCACAGATTCGTTGTTGTCGTGGAGTTTGACAGCTGCTTTGTATAAAGTCCACAGAAGAACACTGCTTCTCTTTCGAATAAAAAGTGACAGCGGATAGTGGATTCTGTAGGTGTTTCCCCAGGTGACGTACCTGCACAGCATCTTCAGGCGTATGACAACCTGTGCGGTCGATTGATTAAAACTTTGTTGGAAGTCTCCCTACCTATTTTACCACACATACAGCAGTGCTGTAATTTTCTGAGTTGTTATTTGTGTTTAGAAAGTTCCCTCTTATTTTTATCCAGTTTCTCTTTGATGTTTATTACAACTTGCAGCTGGAGCGGCCCAGTTTCCCCACAAGGAAAACTGAGGTTTCATCAAAGCTAATCTGATCTAGTTACACTCAATTTAAATCTCTTTGGAGAAGAGCTGAATGCCTACAGCAACATGTGGTGCATTTTTCAGCTGTGCAATATGCAGATGCCTAATCAACAGAGGCTTTTTGGATACTTTAATGCTTTCTGACATACAAAGTGCTGCTGTCTGTTACAAAGTGACTAAGAGCACAAATCAGATCAGAGCTAATTAAAGTTAGTTTTGAATAATAATGGTATCAGAGATTTTGGTCCCTGAGCACAAAGCTGGAATGAGTTACAGTTATTAACATGAACATTTAGAAACATGGGCTGCCTTTGTTTTCATTCCAGAATAATACTGAATAAGACTGTTAGATCTTTATTTTTGTATGTGAGGTAATACCTTAGCATCCAGGCTAACACCCGATATGATGTCTCTTTAAGGTTGTCCAGGGGACAGAAAACAGTGTGGAGCTGAACTACCTGAACTCCCTGACGGAATACCAGGTGGCGGTTTTTGCCATCTACCGCAGCTCAGCTAGCGAGGCACTGAGAGGAAGTGCTACCACACGTAAGTTTCTATGTTCACGAGGACATATTGAGGAATTGTTGGAGGGAGTGCGAGTGGTGGGAGAAATACAGTGAGGTGCAGTTTTGGCTTTAAGAGTCACAGTGGCAAAAGAGCAAGGACCTTTTCACCCCTCAACTTCCTGCAGTCCCTTGTGGAGAAATCCGCAAAAATTTCCACGGCATGCTGGGAAATGTAGTCCTTCCGCAATGTCTCACCCCTGTCAATCATCCTGCTGAACCTCTCTCAATGTGGAAGACCAACTCAGGTTTGACTTCTTCACTCTGCAGAAAAAATATCACTTTGATGACCTTTTCTTAGTCCACTTTCCCTCAACAGTCTACTTACTTAAAGTAGTACAACTGTATCACTGGGTTTAACATGAAGATACATTGGAGATGTTCAGCCCTAGCATACATGTTGGAGCGGTAGTCAGGCCCTGTCAGATCAGATGAGGAGTCTGTTGTGCACCAAAATCAGCAGAATTGTAAGTGTAGTTAGCATCTTTCATTTGTTTATGTTTTCTGTTTGCTTATTAGCTTGTAGCCGACACAGCGTCAGTGGTTGGGAAATATATAATATCTGCTACGATGTTACATTGCGTTCACATTGTTATTACGTGGTAGATAGTGGAAGGAAGCTCCAGGGTCCGGTTTACATCCAACAAGGAAATACCATGTTAGGTACCAAATCTATCTTGCCTGGGGTACGTTTGAATCTCAGATGTTATACCTCTGGAAGAAAAACACAGTTTTGGGGATCATCATAATTTCTTAATTTTCAACAGTTTTGGGACCTTTTAAAAATTCCAAGAGAGGTATGAACAGGAGGTACAAATACAAGTACACAAATTACCTAAACTGACCTAAAAGGCAGTGTAACCCCATTTTTTTAAAAAATAAACTTTCCCTTTGTTTTGCTCTAGAGGAATTGAAAGTATTGGAACAGCATATTCTCTGGAATTCAGTTCACAAGAAGACATGCATGGCGAGTACTTCACCGTTGAGCTACAGCAGCTTCGGTAAAAACACTGATCAACCAGCAGATATGTGTCGTACTACAATGGAAGACGCTGAATTTAGGCCATGAAAGCTACGCAGGTGTTCAATTATGCATTGAGTGCTGAGCCTCCACCTCTGACAGGACGCCTGTGGTGAGCTCTAATTCTGGTTGTGTTGCCTGAGGCCCCATCATGATGTCTAAAACACTGAACCAGAGCCTGGCAGGATTCTCTGGCCTCTTTCAGCCCTGCGCTCGCTGATGAATGACGGGGAATTCCTCCCTGTCGGTAGAGGATGAATGCTAAGTTGCGAGTCGACCTTGTAACAAAGTTAATGGGGTTTGGCTGCTGCTATTAGCTGCCACTGCTGGTTGAGCTGGACTGTCTGGCTAAGACAACAAATGAAACTTGACGCTAAATACTGATGGTGTGGTGCTTTGTGTGTGTGCCTTACAGAAAACAAAGGATGTAAAAAGAAGAACTGTATGAATGCGAAAGTTCATTAATATTGGTTTTTGAAGATATTTTGGACTAATATTTAATTTTAATTATGACTAAATTAATAGCACTTTAACCCACAAAGGCTTCCTGCTTCAATTAAGGCATAAAGTAGATGCGGCTATATGTTAAATTAAAAACAAATGTATCAAAAGCATAGATCCACAGTTATATCAGCAAATAAAATCTATAAGAAAATAACATTTAATTGCAGATACTGCCGTTTGTTTTTTGTTGCTGTAAGATCAGAGTAACCTAATGATACTGTCGGGCTGAAATATACTAGATTTAGTAAAACTCGGCTATTGGCCAGACCAGCTACTCAACAGAATACTGTGTTTGTGTCGTGCAGTGGCCCTGCCCATGGTGAACGACCTGGAGTTGTTTGAGATCACTCACAGCACCATGAGGGTCCGCTGGAAGACCGCTGCCGGGGCTTCTGGGTACATGATCCTGTACGCTCCACTGACTGAGGGAGATCCTGCAGACGAGAAAGAGGTGAGGAGGTTGTGTGTGTGTGTGTGTTGGTGTGTGTGGAGAGCAGGATTTAAAAAGGTGGACAAAATACTGTAAATTATAGACACATTGTTTCCATCATCGACATTTGTTCTTTTTATTTCATTTTTCGACACATCTGCCAAGTGTGCATTAGTTCCAGTAACACATACTGTAAGCACAAAATAGATATTTAGAATACAATACTTGTCACTGAATGGAGTTGCTAATGGTTTTACTTCTTCCACTTTATTGTTTAAAATGGAATAAGAGTGGTGACATGAATGGAAATGTCATTTATTGTTTTACTAATATCTGTAGGCAAGCAACAATATTACCATTAATGGGCTGGTTTCTGGTTGAACAGTTTGATAAATAGCCCTCTCTCAGAGGGAACGAGGAACAAAAAATCTGCTGTTTTACACAAAACACCCTCAAAAACTTGATGTTTTTATATATTGTGCAAAGAAGTGTTCAGAAGTCAAAGAAAACTGGAACAGAGTTGGCCTGGATGTAGGATCAGCTGCACCGGAACATCCAGTTATGTCTCACTGTTTGACAATCATGACAATCAACAGGTTTGAGTTTTGAGACATTTGCATAACAGAAGTTTTTGACTCTTTTTCAGTAGCAAAGCACCAACCAGTTTGGTGTCTGTCTTTCTGAATTGATTTCAAAGCTTGACCTTGCAAACACCTTTGGGGGGGGGATGACACACAAAGGGCCGCAGGTCAGATTTGAAATAATGGCCGCTACAGCAAGGACTCAGCCTTGGTACATGAGGCACCAGCTCTACCAGGTGAGCTATCCAGGCGCCCCATGACCAAACTTTTTAAAGCACCATAAAAATCAGATCATAATGATAGAGGAAACTAGTTGAGGCACAGCTCAAGGCAGCATAATAAACAGTGAAACAAACCCTGAGCAAACTTTCAGCTCCCTGTGGTGAAAGACCAAATATATACTGCATGAAGATGGACGACGTGTCTCCACTTCCTCCCACTGTACAAGAATTGATTCCAAAATATCCTGGATACTGGTGCTGCCATCTTGCACTGGTGATGTCATTTGGAGAGTCTGTGCAGTAGTATATGGGGTTGGAGCCACGGACACTTGGGTGGCTCAATCCCAAGGAGGACTCAGCTGTCAATCATGACGTTAAACCCCCTTTTAAAGTTTTTTTGTACTTAGATTCTTTTGTTTGGCCCACGTCCCATCTACTTGGGGAGCTGTTATGTTGTTCATCTTTATATGCAATCAATGTGCAAGCAAAAAGAAACCAGGGTATAAACCCGTTTTAAAACCTGTTAAATCAGCCAGTGTTGAAGATCAAAGGAAAGAAAACTTAATATTGAAAATGTGACACACTTGTAGACAGCCACACACTATGACAAGCATCAACAGGTAAAAAAAAACATCATAAACCAAACTGCAAATAAAGATTAAAACATGCTGGTCGATGACAGGTAAAATCAGCACGATTCAGAAGAGACAGACGAGGTAGAGGAGGAGAGGTATGAAGGGCACAGCCAGCCGTCTGTATCCCTCCCTTTCCCAATGGACCTCATTACTACTGCCGTCACATTCCCCTCCAGGCAGAAAGTGATAAAAACAATTTAGTGAGGAATTCAGAATCAGGATGGATGCTTTCCAGTGGTGAGGATAAGCCTGGCTCTGAGGCACTACTGTCAGAGCCCGGGCTTGGCTGGCTCGTGCTCGTATGGCTTCCACTCATGAGCCATGTGGGGACTCGTCTGGGCCAAAGCCAGAGTCAAATCCAGTCCAGTTTGACTGAGAAAAGAGCTTCATCCACACAGTTCAGAGGAAAACTCTTTACAGAGCAGCAGTGGGCTTCATACAGACAGAACCCAAGAGAGAGTGAACACTCAAATTCAAAGATGTGAACAGCAATAGGGAGATCTTTTGATAGGGATTTGACTGAAATGGGCTTTGAAGACCCATGTTCCTAAAGCTGACTATTTTCCTGCCAACAGAAAACAAAAGTGATTCAGTGTGTATGACACAATCACAGAATGACCTTCCTGTCAGAGAAGAAGTGCCTCTCCTCAAACCAACACATCATTTCAGTATTGTGTTCCAACTTTGCTCTCACACTACAAAGTTAGAGTATAAGTCTGAAATGTAACTTCTGATGTTTGTGTCAGTGAAGATTTTGATAGTTGTTTTTAATTAAGGAGATGAATATTATTAAAGAGAACATGTGCGTGATTGACAGGTATCTCAGCCTGTCACAGTCAGCTGTGTTGGTTGCCACTTACACATTCATCCACTGCTCCACCCTGGCTTCCTCTTACTTCCCATTTTAACCCCAAATTAAGATCTTTGGCTCCTATAAATGACAAAGATGCAGGCAAGCAGGAACATCATACATTGACTTTAAATGAAAGGTGATTTCACTGAGTCTGTGGTCTGAAGCTGCACTTAGACCATCATGACGCATTGCAACTCAGACTATTGGACAGGGAACTGATATCAGCCTAACACAGCAGTCTAACTTTTATTGTGTGTTTGTATCTGTCTATAACAGAGTGCACAACAGCACCGGGGCAAACCAACATGCTTTTTATTGCTGCATCATACTGCTTTATGTATGTGAAAGCCAAAACAAAATGTTTAATATCCAAACACTAGTGATGTTGGGAGTTCCACAGTCCAATTTAGATATGTTCACATTATAATCCACGATAAGACGATCTGTTAAACATTGCTATTTGGACATCCATAGTACAAGAAAGTGGAACCAGGCCAAAAATAGATCTAAATATACTCAAATGAAAAGGGAAACTCTGGATGTATTTAATAATAATTTCATTTCAGCTCAATCAGTAATAAAGTAACTCTGGAACATGAATGGCTTCATGTCTGCAGTATATTTTAAGACAGTATTGAAATCTCTGTCTAACATTTTGCATCAGTTATGAAGTGACTCCTAAAATTTGGCAGTGCATCTTATTTCTCTCAGGCTCCGAAATAAAAACAATTTATTAATGGGAAGCAGATGGACAAACATTTGTCAGTGCCTCTGTTCTGCCAGAGTTTTCAGTTTTGTCTTTGGCAGAAGGTGAAAGATGGCGAAGTTCAAGGTTTGTGGCCATAGTGCGTTAACAGTAGTAGTATAGAAGTTAGCGGTAAGTATAGTAGCTGAGCTAAATGTTGTAGCTCAGAATGTGAGGCACATAATTATGATGAGCCCGATGGGTCCCACCCGCTCAAAGCAAGAGGCTCAGCCACATTCAGAAGTCATGTTACGCAATCACAGCTTGATTCTCTGCTTGTCTGGACAGGACTGTGGATTGATGGAGGGATGATATGCAGAGAGGTATAATAGATGTGGACAAGATAAGACGGTGGCGAGGGAGATAAAGATGTCTGTTTGACACACTGTATCCTCTTTCTGCTAAATGCACATACCTTCATGCTGTGTGTGCTGTGTGAGTGCAGGTGAAAGTGGCGGACTCAGTGAACGAGGTGGAGCTAGAGGGACTGACTCCAGCCACAGAGTACACTGTGACGGTGTACGCTATGTACGGAGAGGAGGCCAGCGACCCGATGACCAGCCAGCAGACCACATGTAAGTCTCTCTCACACACAGAGAGAGTCTGTTAATTCATAAATCTGTTAACTAATAAATCATTAGCCCATTCCCTAAAATTATAATTGCACCCTCAAATGATTCCCAAATGCTCCGTCTAAGTGCTTAATTCATTCCCTCAATTTAACAATGAAGTGAAGTTACAGATGGTTGGGGCTAATGGGTCAGTTTGAGAGGAACACCATGAGTGTTAGCAGCAGCTGTGTCACAATACATTGTAATAAACAGCTCCATAGAAAGATCTGTCCTGCAGTTTCTGCTGTCCACACACACCGATTTAAAGTTCTTGGATCTAATACGGATTTTGAGTTGATTATGTACTGAGATTCATGGATTCACGTTACATTTTAGCTGTTAAACACAATCTGGTGTTATCTCAACATCCCTTAAATTTGTTGTGGGAGATGTTGACAGATCATATCACCATAAATATGTGATGATAATGTGAGCGTCATCCAGGTCATAAAAAACCCCTCAGACTCTTGGTTGATGAACTCCTCGTGGCAAAAATTTCAAAGGATGTGTGTAAGTCATTTTATCAAACAATGCCAATCACTTCAGGCTACAAATGAATTAAGTGAAGGAACCATTCAGCACAAATATTTATTTATGGGCTCTGTCATCTGCTTACATAAATAGCATTTGTATGTCATGTTTGTACATGTTTTTCTTTCACATTCCTTTTAAGGTTTTCTAACAGGTTTACAACGAAGGCAACATCTCTGTATGTTCTGGAATAACAAGCATCTGCGCTTTACATAAAATATTACTGAGATGAAAATCACTGCTACTAATTCATCTCTGGAAATTGGCCTCACCATGTTTTACTTAAACCTAATCCTAACCTTAAACCTAAAACAAAGTTTTAACCGTTTGAACAGTCCTTTGAAAAAGTGAGGACTGGACAAAATGTCCTCACTGTCGTAGTATGAAGGTCATTTTGGTCCTCACATAGATAGAAATACAAGAGCACACACACTGACTCATAAATATGAACATCACTGTGGAACCATCAATAAGCTCTACTAGCTGTTGATGAAATTCAATTTCATTAAATTCCTGACAGATTTTATGACCCTCTGAACTCTCATCATATTTCAAACCACAAGCCATTTAGACTTACTCACAGCTGTTTGATGGCCTGTAAGAAGGAAACCACACATCTCCCAAAAGACTGCTGTTTATGTAAGAAGAGCACTTGTTTTAAGAAATCTTACAATGAATTTTAGGCAGTTTCTAAAGATCTGGAGTGTCATGGGAATCAATGAAAACACAGGGAAGAGGAAGCAGCTTCTTTCTCCAAACACTACAGCAGCTAATTTCTCTGATTAGCGCTCACTCTGCTTGAAGTTGTTCTAATCAGTCAAATCAGCTGCTGCAGTTACGCTGATTTTTCATTTGCCAAAGTGTTTGCATGCAGTTACGTGGCTTTTCCAGGACAGCTGCAGCATGTTCTAGTCAAGTCCCGGCACGTTTTCTGCCCCGAAAAACTGGCAACCAGCAATGCCAAAATCACTGCATGGCACCGACTTCCAGCTTCCCCTCGCAGTGCTATTTCTTGCACCTTACTCTCACTTTTGAAGAGTTTTGAGGCCTTGACGAGTGTACCTCCCCTCTTCGCCTTCCCCAAATCACCACCGTGCTCACTAATTAACGTTTTATGAAGTCTGCTTTAAGGTCTGTGGCCTGTGGCTTTAAGTCAGGGCATGTTTATGTCTTTATGATGCGTGAAGGCTTTGAATGCAGGTCAGATAAGGACACTGGTGGCTGTTGAGGGAGATGGTGGTTGTTTTTGGGGTGGCTTGAGGTCTCTCAAATGACTTTTCATGGTAAAATGACTTTCCTTCATCCATGCAAGCAGGGCTTCGTGCCTTCCACCCACCCATCCAGACATATTTTGTTTTGTCAGTCGTACATTATGTTGACTGCTCATTTCTCCTTATGTGTATTTAATCATTCATTCATTAATTACTCCTGAAAAAACCCAATCTGTTTTTGTTTCTGTTGATTAGTTGCTATCATGCAGTGATTATGTCTGGAGTGAAGAAGGGGTACATGACGTCATCTTATTTGTATTTTGCAGCATTCAGACTTTTTTGGAAAACCAAATCGATTTAGTTTATTTGCAGTTTTCTGTAGTGCATTAATCACCAGCTAGTGGTCAAAATTTTTCCTAATTTCTTGTTTTCTGTTACAGCACATGATGCATCTGGGCATGTAGGAGATGAGTTTAATGTGCTTTTCACTCAGCCTGTTTGTTCATAATCATTCAGACCCCATCTCTCTGCCTTCAGAAGTCCCTCGTCCCTCAATTCATGCAGTTATTTCACAGCTTTTCTTCTTTCATTGTCGGCAAAACTAGTTTTAATGATTGTTGCAGTGAAAAGAGGGCACCACAGCTGCTGAGAAAAGACCTTTAATAAAAAAAAAAGCAGCATGATGGAGAATAAAGTAAAAAATACTCTTCGCAAAGTCAGACTTCATATTGGCTGGGATGACTACAAGCATCTAACTAAGTTTTGCACTTTGTAGATACACAGTTCAAAAGCAGATGACAAGGGCAGACAACATGCAGTAGAAATATAGATTATTAGATTATTATTAGGCTAATAATCAAAATCTTCACTTCATTATTCAGTGTGGTCTCATGTTTATGTTTGTTTATTTTTGCTTTGGATGTTTGAGTAGCTAGACAGACTTTATGGTAGATTTTATAGCTGCGTCAATCTCATCCTCAATCATTTTCTGGCTCTGGCATAAGAAGATGAGATCACGATTTTTAAAACAGTCTCCAAAGCTCTGATTGACTTGTTTTTTTAACTGGGGGAAAAGCAGTGAGTGAAGACAACAGCAGACCTTCTGTGTGTGAATCACAGTGATTCACTCAACACTGCATTCATCCATACTTTTATTTAAGAATAAAGAAATGAACCACTGGTTTTCCCATTTTGGACCTTAGTGGTTTGGGCATTTGAGGAGTGGTTGCATCAGCCCTTGCCAAACACACCACTTTTCTGCCTTCTTGGAGTCAAATCTGTTCTACCAGCTGGACTTACAAAGACACGGTTTGGATTAGCTCCTGCAGACTTCCTTAATTCAGCCAGGGTTGTACTAAGGAACTGGGAAAATACAAGCACATATTGGACTGGATTAAACTCATGACTGTTACAGACTCATACGAGTTAATCCAAGCCTAACCACTGAAATGTGGGGTAGCTGCTTCATCAGATGTATTAATGGTGGGGCTCATTAGATAGCAATGTATAATATAAAGCCTTAATGTATATCATACTTTCTTACCTGTAAACCACTAAGTGAAAACTATGTTTCATACTGTAATGTCGCAGGATGTTTGACATATTATAAAAACTTTAAATTACAAATAAATGAAGAAAGAATGAAAGAAATATAATCCTTCTTATAAAACGTATACATTTCTTATTCTTCTTAAAACTTCTTAGGGAAGGCTGACATTTAGAGCACATGGGTCATTGGATATTTTTATGGATATTTTTTATATGGACACATAAATTCAGAAACTTTAGAGATGTACCTATCTCTAAACTTTTTAATTTCCCATCCTCCTCATTCCTGTACTGACCCTGGTACGACCTACAGTAAAAGCAGAGGCAGTCTCTCCCTCCCTTCTTCTCTCCCTCTCTTTCTCTCTGCTGCTTTGTCTTTATTCTGACCCCTGGTATAATTGAGGTGAAGCAATGGTGGGCACTATCAGGATTTTTTTTTTTTTTAAAGAAAACTGATCAGTAATTCTAAGCATAAAAGTTTCCGAGCCTCTGAGAGTGAATCAGATTCCCCGGCTGAATTAAAAAAGTGAGGCTTTTTTAGACCCTTGCAGTACCTCCAGGGGGGAGAGACAGAGAGAACAAATGAAAGAGAGAAGTTGAAGCAGAGCCGAGGGAGGGTGAGTGATGTAGTGAGGTTTTGTCCACTTTATAATTAAAATAGTCGAGTGCACTAACCCTGGTTCAAAACCCCATGAGTGTGTGTGTGAGTGTGAAATCACTTACCAAATCAAAACTCAACTAACCTTTGACCCCTGATAAGAGCAGCTCTGTGGCAGCTACTGTTTCTGTTCTTATCGAGGCTCGGCTGTGTTTTTGTGTTTACGTTCTGTGTTCCTACTGCTGATATCATCAGATGAATGAGCGTGAACACGATTACAAATACAATATAAATCAATCCAGTACATTCCAGATAGGGATTGATTAATGATCATTTCTGAGGTGGTGTGTTTGATTTTAATCAAGACTCATAATTTTCATGTTCACTTTATCTTTAGTTGCTCATAAACAAGAGTGAGCAGCAAAAGGAAACTTTTTGTGCCTTCGCTTTTTTTATTTTCAACATTTTTGTTGTTCATGTGGTATGAACCAATCACAGAGCAGCTGGGAAACAAGCGTCCTGTGTTCACTTTATCGTCACCACCTTCCACATCTTAAGAGCAGAGTGCAAAGTAATTAAGTATTAAAATCTATAGCATAGATTGGATATGGAAGTTTACTACGTGTCTCATCTTTCTCCTCCCACCTCAGTGCCACTGACCCCGGCGAAGAACCTGCGTTTCTCAGACGTGGACCACAGTTCCGCCCGGCTCACATGGGACTCCACCTCCAGGAAGATCAAAGGCTACCGCATCATGTACGTCAAGACCAACGGAGTCCAGACCAATGAGGTGAGAGGATTCTGCAGGGCTCAGCCAATGGGAGCAGAGCTTACAAACCTTTTCACAGCTGTGACATACCTCTGCTGAGCCTGAACAGAGAGTTGTTCAGTTCTCATTACTGACATCAGTGTTCAGAAACAAACCATCACACTTACACCTGGTCAGAGTTTCTGCACTGCGGACCAAACTTCTCAACACGATCCAGGCTGCACATTTTGGCATGAAGAACAAACCAAACCACACAAAATGTAAAAAAAAACATGTTTTGTTTCTACAGGTGGACGTTGGCCGCGTGACAACCTGGTTCCTAAGAAACTTGACCTCCCTGACGGAGTACACAGTTGGTGTCTTTGCCATCTACGATGAGGGACAGGCTGAAGCTGTGACTGACAGCTTCACCACAAGTAGGAACTGATATTATTATTATACAGGAATTGTTATAATATGTAATAAATGTTGTGTCAAAGTTAAATAGCAATTAGGTATTACAAGTTACAACATAAGCTGTCTTTTCTATTGTTACCATAACCATTAATGTGTATATGTGTGTGTAGAGACGGTCCCAGACCCGCTGGATCTGAGGAGCAGTGACGTCTCCACAGACAGCTTCAGGGTGTCATGGCAACACCCAGCGTCTGATGTGGTTCTGTACCGACTCATCTGGACGCCCACCGATGGAGGAGACAGTGAAGAGGTGTGTGTGTGTGTGTGTGTGTGTGTGTGTGTGTGTGTGTGTGTGTGTGTGTGTGTGTGTGTGTTCATGTTTTTACATACGCAAATGGTTTAGGGTCAGAGAATGCAATTTATAAATAAATAGTTATGTTATATTCAGTTGTACAATTGTATAATTCATTAAAGTGCAATAAAATACATTGAGATTTTATTACACATACAGATGATTGCGTATTGCATAAGCTGAAGGGGGAACACGAAATTCCCTGACTCTTGTCAACATTTAACAAACTCAAAAAAAGATATCAGGTCAAGTGTTGTGATGGCCATCTGTGCATTTATTGATTTCCTTCTACTTACACCTGTTCAGGTAGCAGTCCCACAAGGCTGCACTCATTTTGGCAGCTTGTAATAGATATCACATTGTTTTTCTCACTACCGAACAGCCTATGACCTAAAGCGAGGTCTGAAGTGTAGGTGGTCCGGTAAATTGAGAGCTTCTCTTTCAGCGTCAGCTTTCTCTACAATGTCTGCATTGTTTGCCCTCACTAGTGAACAAGATCCTGAGATACTTGAACTCCTTCTCTCTCTCTGGGGGTAATAACTTGAAGAGAGCTTTCCAGTCGAGCACCATCGCCTCAGACTCAGTATGCCCAATGTGGTTTGATTAAATTACTGATTTTCTTTTTCTTTCTGTATTATTTCATCACAAACATCATGTTTCACTGTTGTTGCTTCTACTTTTTATTTCAAATGTCAAAACAACAGTAAGCCAAGGTCCTCACAACTACTGCAATACAGACATGTATCACTGTATGCTGTCTCTGTCTTTTGTCTCTTTTACTTATTGTTGATTAAAAAAAATAGATACATGTCTTATCTCACATGAATCAGATGATTCAATTAAGGTACAAAATTAAGCAGAGGTGAATATAAAAAGATAAAAATCAACTCTCTCCGGGAGATTATCTCAGGGATGATAATCCCAAAAGCAAGACATATGTTATCAGTTTCTTCACCTGTTGGCTTTTGTCTCTCTCTTGATCTTTACGTCTACCTGTCTGTGTCTTCATGCAGGGATGTAACATTAAATATAAACGTGTGTTTTGCTGCAAATAAATTACAGTACAGCTTAAATGAGATGCTACTTGCTGTTATGTAGAAAATGGTTAGTTCTTGTCAACTCTCAACATAGAAATGTATTTACCTCTTCTGTATACATCTGATTATGTCACTGACTTTATATCTATCCATCTAACACAAGTCTCCATCCCTCTGTTTTAGGTTCTGGTGAACGGAAACATTAACACCTACCTGATAAAAGGACTCAGCCCCTCATTAGAATATGAAGTCCTCCTTGCTGCAATCTACAGTAACGAGGTTGAGAGTGACGAGGTGATCCTCGTAGAGACCACCGGTAAATTAAATGTCACTACAGCTGATTCTTCTGGGCTTCCAACTGTCCTCATGTGTCTATAAAGTGCACAGAACCAGTTATATGTTTGGTTTGGCTTCTTTGCCAACTGTTGTACTTTCTTTATGTCATATATTTTCTGTTCTTATGTCAGTCGGAGGAGGACATAATTTTTCGGATTGAAAAAAACTTCAAATAGGATCCTTTAAACTCTTTATTGAACATCTCTTTCATCAAGCAGATCAATAAATATTTTCTTTAATTTTCAGTTGAAAGAACAACCACGGTTGCTACGACAACCACCACCACAGAAGGTAAATATTTCATTCCAGCTGTGGTGATGAATCTTTCCTCTCCACCTCTTCCTCATGTTCAACCTTGCCCATCATCCTTGATCCATTATTTCATCCTAATAAATCCTCCTGCTCTCCTGCCCCCCCTTTCAGTGATGCCATCTAACTGTTGGCTGTGTGTTTATGTTCCCCGATATCTGGAATACATTATGTATCACTGTTAGACCCTTCTGTTGCATGAAATCATAATGGTCGAGGACCTTATACCGATTAATTCTGCTGATGAAAGTAATCATTAGTTGCAGTAATATGTAAATTAAATATTTTTATGTTTGGGGTAAAAATGTGTGTTGTGTTATGTGAAACCTTGTAACTTCCAACTTATGCTAGGGAAAACTCGGATTCAAGATAAAGAAAACATCAGGTAGTAAATATCTCATTACAAGTTTTCTGGCGCTGTTTCTTTGATAGCGTTTTAGATCTGCAGACAGATGGTGTATCATCATGAAGGTTGTCGGATATTTTGCCACGGAAACCTTCTCAGCAGAACCTTGAGTAAATTAAATGCCAAAATTATGGCTTCTTGATATAATCAGTTTCTCTGATACAGGTTGACAGTTTTGTGCTTCAGTGAGTTGATGTGTGACTCCGTGACCTGCAGTATGATTTTTCTTCTTTCTCTGATCCTGCAGCTCCTCGTTTCGGGGTGAAGAACATGAGGATCGATGAGGAAACCACCTTCAGTATGCGGGTGGCCTGGCAGGCTGTCGACTCGAGGAATGTCCGACATTATCGACTGAACTACATCAGTGCCAAAGGAGACCGAGCAGAGGAGACGGTAAGACAGAAAGAGAGAGACTGCTTTATTTAACCTGTTTTTTCATGAAAATCAGCATTATAACTCTGGACAGAGGGCTGTCTGCGCTTGTTCAGTGTCCCGAACAGTAACACCGTGAAGGCCCTATTGAAACTGCTCGGGCTATTATTATTATTTTCATACCAAATGAATCGCATTTTTTGAGACCTTAACATGCTCGAAAACTTTGCACAAAATTCAGTGGTAGCGAAAATTTAAGTATTCTTTTGGTCCTGTACATGCAAAATGGCTTAGGCATGCTCCCCAGAATCAGCCCCGACAAGTGCGACCGACATGTATGAAAATTGGTACACACGTGTATCGTGATCAGACAAGCAAAAAAGCCTCTTTGACCCATACCCCAAACCCAACAGGAAGTCTGCCATTTTGAACTTTTCTGCGATATTCCACATAGTATTTTAATGAACTCCTCCTATGGAATTGATCGGATCGAATCCAAATTTAGTAGGTGCATTCTAAAGACCATCACAAGTATGCAGCAAAACTAATCCATGCATTTGTTACTTCTAGGCTGGATTACTGCAACTCTTTATTATCAGGTTGCCCCAATAAGTCAATTTAGACGCTCCAATTAATTCAGAACGCTGCAGCACGAGTACTGACAGGAACTAGAAAAAGAGATTACATCTCTCCTGTACTAGCTTTTCTGCACTGGCTCCCTGTAAAATGTAGAATAGAATTTAAAATCCTCCTCCTCTCTTCATGGTCAGGCTCCTTCATATCTTAAAGAGCTCATAGTACCCTATTACCCCACTAGAACACTACGTTCTCTGAATGCTGGGCTACTTGTGTTTCCTATAGTCTCTAAAAGTAGAACAGGAGCCAGAGCCTTCAGTTACCAAGCACCTCTCCTGTGGAACCAGCTTCCAGTTGTGGTTCGGGAGGCAGACACCCTCACCACATTCAAGAGTAGGCTTAAGACGTTCCTCTTTGATAAAGCTTATAGTTAGGGCTGGATCAGGTGAGTCCTGAACCAGCCCTAAACTCTGCTGCCAGTGCTAGTGCTAGAAACACTCAGGACAGCCAAACCTTCGTCTGTCACATTTCTGGCTGTCAGGGCTTCCTGTCTCCGGATGAAGTCAGCAACGCACTTGGAGTTTATTTCCAGGATAGGAATCCCAAGTTTGCCGAGTTCAGTGTGGTCCACAGTCACTCTCTGCTGCACACGCTGGTACATGTTGGTGTTCTGATGCTTTGGTTTCGGAGATGTTTTGAAATTCTGATTGTCATCGATGAACTTCAGTACATCAGGGTTATCTGTGTCATTTAAGCCACCTGCTCAGTTACAGATGTAATTTGTTCATGTTGGATCTCAGAACTTAATTCTATTTAAATGTTAATGATTTATTTTTTGAAGGAACACACAAAATAATCTAATATCACCCACAGACACATCTCCATCCACTCCTACTTTATATCCACTGTTCCATACATTCCAAAGTTTCTCCATAAAAGAGTTAAATACAGTACTGTCACAGAAATTGATGAAGCTTCAGAAATGAGAATTCCTTTGTATGTTTTGATGCTTTTTTGGCGGGGTTTCTGAATCGCCTTCGGAATTGATTGTAGCTGCTTTGAAATCCATCTGAAGCCCCCAGGCGTGATTACTAAAGTGATTCAGTACAGGAAATTGAAATAATAACTGTGTAATAACTGTAGCCAATGGAAAGTTTTGAGATAGAGTATTGGATTTGTACTGTACAAGGTAGAAAAAGGAAGATGTTGATTGAAAGAAAGCCAAATGTGTCAATCTTCAACAGAGTGAATGAGATTATTGATGAAGATGAAGGCGGGCCTTCCGATTAAAAGTCCTCCGTGGAGAGAAAGAGGGAGGGAGACAAAGACGGTGTTGTTGAAGTCGATGGCAGACCTTCAGAGTCTAGTCAAGAGGAAGAGGAGGAGGAGGAGAGAAGGAGATGCAGATAATGATGATGAAAACAGTGGCAGATCTTCAAAGAGTTTGTTTCAGAAGAAAGAGAGAAAGAGAGAGAGAGAGAGAGAGAGAATGGCAGGTCTTCACACTAATGAGCCACAACAGACAGAGAGCGACACTGATGCAAAAACATGGAAATGTACTTTGTGTGTCTACATGCCTGTGTGACGGGCAAACATTAAGAGACAAAATAGATGTTGATTTGATGGCCTGAAGTGCCAGAATAAAGGTTGAGATGTCTGCTGTCATTTAAACCTGCATCAGGAACTTAATATCTTCTTCAATATCAGTTCAGTCATCTGTGGATATTTAATACATAACAAAAAAAGAATTTTTGAATGTTGATAGTTTTATGGCTGTTGTAAATGTATGGGTATTTTAATGTTAATATAAGTAAGTATAGTATAGTATATAGATAGTATAAGTTGTTATATATAAGATTAAGATATTAACATAGCAGCAAACAACTATTAGCTATGTGAAGAGATAGTGGAGAGAATGATGTCACACTACCTGTGTTGTTATCACAGCGTCTCTCTGGTTTGTTTACAAATGAGGTCCGACCGCACGTACATGTGACTCCAACAGAGTAGAGTAACTGCTGTTTGTCTCATCTACATCTGTGAATTAAGGATTTATTTTGAAAAAGCAGAGTTTGTGATTGCTGGAACAGTGGAAAGACTAACAAAGACAAGGTCAAATTACTGGTTTTGTCTATGAGGTCTGGTCGGCTGTTGCGGCCATTGATTTGGGTTGAGATGCTGGTGCTTTGGTGCGACATCTAGTCATCATAAAACACACACACACACACACACACACACACACACAGTCAGTAGTAGTATTACTTGTATTACTTGTATTACTGGAGCTAGACTCTCCTATTCTATCCTTTTTTTTCTATTTATTTGTGTTCTTGTAGTAACCATTAGTAGTAATCAATACCTCTATCAGTAAATGTGGGAATTTACATATGCATCGTTTCCAAATCCATGTTTTTTGTTACATAGTGGAGTGTGTACTGTATGTCAGGTTAACAAGTGTGTGTGTGTGTGTGTGAGTGGTGTAGCGTGCCACTACACTGGTAGCCGCTGTGTGTCAGCAGGCGACTCTGGCCACAGGTCCCACATCAGCCTTTTCATCCTGACAATAAAGAGCCGCCAGCTGCCCGCACCGACGGCTTGTTAAATGAGATCTCTTATCAAAGTGCGAACAGCTGTGGGCTCTGTTTGGCAATCCGGTCAGGTTATGAATCACCAAGTGCTGCACTCAATAGCTACCATTTAGATGTCTATCTTCTGGGGGGGGGGGGGATCTGGCAGGCTTCCTCTACTGCTTTGTTCAAAGTAAGTTTCATTCTGTGGCTTCTGCCTGCCAAGAAAGGGACACCAGCCATTAAAAAGAAAAATCTGAAAGATAACTCATTTACATGTGATTGATTTCTGGGTGGCATGTATTCCACTTCATCTTCACTGATGGAACTGGGTCTAAAAACTGCTAATAACTTTAAAAATTTGGCTCAGTAGTTGTAATCAAATCATATCAGATGTAATTAAATTACAGATTTTATGCAGCACTTTCATGCAAAGTGCTTTTAATTTCAAACACTTCAGCATCATAAAATCAGACAAGAAAAAAGGTGTTTAACATAATAAAGCAAACAACATGACGCCATAACCACTATCTTTTTGCTGTGTTGCTTCTCTTGGCTTCCCTGCGACCTTTGACCCCTTTAATATAAGGAAACCAGTATACAGTTCTTGGATGATAGGATTAGTCAGTAAGTATGTGCCATTGAAAGCCTTTTGGCCCTTTCAGGTTTTAAATACCTCAGATACAGATATGCGATGCAAAGTCTGCATGTGTCCATGTGTGCATGTGTCCATGTGTCCATGTGTGCATGTGCATAATGGACAGATGCTCTAACTGGATTGAATCATCTTCTCTTACTGGTTTAAGTGTGGAGGAAACAATTTGAACATGTTCTTCAAATTTAAGTTAATTTGTTTTTCAACAGCACAGTGGTTGATGTTCTCTAAAGTCCAAAACTTTCTCTTTGGAGTGCTTTTGTTTCCGTCTTATTGCCTTTCTGACATTTGGAGAATGGTTATTGTTATTACCAACTCTGCACAATAGTTTGAGATTAGTTTTTTCTTTTGTCCCTGAAACTTCCTGATTTGTGTCGTCCAGGTGTTGCACATTGTTTTGTGAGACACTCCAATCACATTTACCTGAGTTTCCATTTGAATTTCTATCACTGCCAAACAACAACTCTGCTGGCTGAAATGAAGACATTAAGTCTCCTGATGACGCACCTGTCGCTGTCAAAGCTCCTCAATAAAAATTGGGACACACTGTTTGGAAGCTTTTTTTAAAATTAAAATGCATTGTCCCAGATGGAGATTTGTTTTCACAGCCATTAAGACACAGAAACATTTGTGTCCCAAAACTCTTGCTGAAGTGAGCTCTTCTCCATTTTAAGGTTCCATATCGCTCACCGGATGGAAGTAATGTGAAGTGTTGATTGAGGGTTGTGATCTGTGTCGTTTGCTATTGTGAGTGCTAGATGTGTGATGCCTCTGTGCTTCATATCTGAGAGATTGGGTGTGGGAAGGCAGATGATTTTGGAGGCAGTGTGTGTGACATTTTGGTGGAGGTGGTTAACATGGTGGAGAAGGAGGCGGAACAGTACAGCAGGATGGCATAGATGGGTTGAATAATGCCTTTGTAAAGCAGCAGCAGGAGGTGGAGGCCAACAGACAGCGCTCTGAGTTTGTGTATGACATGCAGTCTTTGCTGGGATGGAAGTGATGTACTGATCACAACTGAGTTTACTGTCTGTAATGAGTCCAAGATAGTTGAAGCTTCAAACTGTCTTGCCATGGATGGAGGTGGGGTTCAGTCCACTGTGGGGTGTGTTTGATGTGCTAATGACCACTTCTTTTGTTTTGTCCGTTGAGCTGCAGGTAGTAATCACTGCACCATTGTGTGAAGTGAGAAATGGAGATTTCAGTCAGTCCAAAGCCCAGTT